TTGGTAGCATCTGTGCTTGTGAGTTATCTGTGTTGTGTGTATGTGCAGAAGTGTTTTTCTGTTTCTTATACGTTTTCTTACACACATACATTCATTCACCTTATGCATCTCAGTAGTCCCTTTTCTGTCATGTGCCAACTGAAAGCTTCTTTTAAAACTCCACAAAACCCCAAATTTGGATTTTTTTAGTACAAGATTGTTTTTCAGAAAAGTGCTGGCCTGCCTATGTGCACATAAATTTTAAGTTGCCCTGTTCCACATTCTTGTTGAGTAATGTGATCTTACTGGCACTTCACTGGATAAGTGTTCCACTGTGTGAGCTGCAGAGGTTGTTCTTTCTGTCGCTCTGATGACAAATGTGTTTCCTTAACACCATAAAGGGAGGGGTGAGCATTTTCACCCTTCCGAATGTTAATGCTTTGCTGTTCCTTGTGCTGGCCAGTATATCCTTACCAAGCCAGTTGGTGTGTTTTGAAGGGGAGGACAGGCATTCCTCGACTCCTTTCCAGGCCCCGATGTTGTGCTCCTCACAACAGAGACACTGCAAGGACTTGGAAGTGCTCTGAAGACTTGGAAGCAGACACTACAAATCAGCAAACCCTACAGCCACTGCTTACAACATCACTAGGCTCTGCAACTCTTTGCAACAAGGGGAACTTTCAGTGCTTTAATTTCCTTGTTATGTAAAAAGCAATCAGGAGTAACAGTCTGGTGAAAGATGGTGGGTGCTTAATTCCTTTTAAGGTCCCTTAGGCACTTGGAATTTGAGATGAAGAGTGCTAATAGTGAGATGCCATATGCATTATAAAAGTAATGCCATGGTGTTTTCCTTTTTATTTCTTATTTAATACTGGGTTTGCTCAACATAAACACATTTATGTTCCCTCCCTCTTTAATATGTAAACTGACAGCTTTTTTTCATGGCAGGCTTTTAAAAATGCTTAAAATAATGTTATGAGTCAAAGTTAGTCTGTCAGTATATAGAAGTTTTAAGTAGGGTGAAGAGGGCTGAATAGGTATCAGTCTTACTATACAGTATAATTCTGTTC